CTGCTCACCTGGCCGTACTTGGCGTCCTGCTCCAGGGCTCCCTTCTCCAGCCCGTTGACCGCGTGCGGGGCGGCGGCGGGGAAGTTGCTGCGGCCCAGGCTGCTCCACTCCTCCACCTTGGGGCTGTGGTAGGGGGAGCTGTCGCTCACTCCTGGGGAGAAAGGGGGCGTCAGGCTGGGGTCCCAACCGCGCGCCCCACCTCCCCACCCCCAGACGCCTACTGAGCTCCGGGCCCGACCGCCCAGGCGCTGCCTCTGCGGCTCGCAGCCCGGGCCCCTCGAAGTTCACTCAAGTTCACCGCCTGCGCCTGCGAATAGGCCTCCGCCTCACCCTCGCCGGCGGGAAGGTTTCTTCTTTTCCGAACCGGCCTTTGATTTCCTCCTGGCTCTTCAGAGAACCCCGCGGAGGGAACCTGAGCGCTGTGCCCAGTTTTCCCAAGTCGGAGAAAGAACCAGGGAGGCCGGATGAACCGATCTCCCCAAGCCTAACCCAGCCTCCACGGAGGAAAACGTGGGGACGGCGGGGACTGAACAGCGTGGAGGGGCGAGCGGGCCTACCTAGCCTGTGCGGGTGCGCAGGCATCCAGGTAAGGGGCCCCTAGGCTGTGGGGACCTAGTAGTTCTGTCAACAGATGGAACAAAAGACCTGCAAAGTTCTTTGCAAACACGACAAAATGCTGCCCACAATACATATGCAAAGTCTATGTGCATAGGTTTTTGCCTTGCTGTGACCAACCTGGATTCCCTATCTCTCTCTATACATTAAATATGTGAGGGAATGTGCATATGACTCAAAAATAAATACTATAATTACCACTCTAAATGCCACATGTGTCAGTGATAAGGTTATGTAGAGAGGGGGTCCTTTTGTGTGTTTTTAATGCTATAAAAGGTTAAGAAAATGAAAGTAGAACTAAGTGTTTTCTTTAAAAAAAAGAGTAAAGTTGTCAATTATCTTATTTTTTTTTTTACTCCTTTGTGTTTTTAATAGAGATGCAAAGAAAATCATATGGTGTAAACTGATTACCACTGTACCTAGGGTGTGCCTATTGAAACATTGGCATCTTTAAGTGATCAAGTCCAATTTTAAAGAGAAGATGTTTGAAAACTATGCGCAGCATGTTCTTGTCTTTGGGACCCATGGCTGGAGGACCAAGGTGTGACAGAGCCACCACAATTTGATTTCAAACACTTCTAACTGACACAGTGCCTGGAAGCAGTGATCATTTTGTAGAAATGACTATTTATAGAAACAATCTTTTTATATTCACAGACTTGTCAGAAAACGGGTTGTTTAAAGCTGGCATCCAGAATCAACAACATCTCAATGAAGAGTTACTGGTCTCAACAACCCAATACATTTACAACTGACATTTGATCTGACTGCAGGATCCCTAGGGAAGAAAAGTTTTCTTTCAACTCTGTCAGTCTTCTCTCACTGTCCCTCCCCCTCTCCAAAGAATTAGATTGTGTTCCAATTTGCACCAGGACCACTGCGTTTTGGCCCAGAACGGCCAGTCTCTCTTTGCCTTCCCAGACAAAAGGCCATCGGTAGGCACAAGCCTGAAGTTATCTTAAGAAATTGAGATCCCCCTGCGAGCCCCCGTTTCTGCTGATCTCACACTTTCCCATGAACAGGGGCTTCCTTTAAATGTCAGTGAGGTCAGTTTATCCTATAAATCAAGGGCAATCTCTCTCCAACCAGAGCCCCAGCCAGCTCCGAATGAGACAAAACTGAACTCCTAGGAGGATCTTATAGATGCACAGAGAACAAGACGATGAGAAATTGGGGCTCGGCTTTAGTTACTTAAAAGATAATTGTACCACTGTGGTGGTAACCAAGAAAGGCGGGAAATAATTAAAGAAACTACCCCCCCTTCCTATTCAATTTTTCTTCTGCACATTTTAAACTTTTGGCTGAGAAATTAAGAAGGTAGGCTCTTTATCTCTGCAATATTTAATATTCTGCATCTTGGGCATTTTGACTTTCTTTTCTCCCTACCTAGAAAAAAACTTACACTGTTTTTTGTTTGTTTGCTTGCTTTGCTTTGTTTTAACAATGCAGTAAAGGAAAACAAACTTGGAGCTCTTGAGGAAGCCCGAGGGAGCAGGGGGGCTGGGGAAATCGTTCTTATCAAGCAGAAAAGACATTGAGGGCCCTGCAAGGTCAAGGGTGAGAAAGGAAAAGAACAGTGGGTTGAAAACGTGCAAGGACTAGACCCCCACTCGCATTTCGGGGGGCAGAGGGACCCTACAAGGAAGCGGCAGGCGCGCAGAAAACGGAAGAGGACAGAAAAGAGGACAGCAGGGAATTGCCATGCATTTTGTCTCCATCACAGGCAGCGGTGGTTGGTGCCACTTCCTAAGATCATATATATCTTTTAAGGAGAGAGAGAGAGAGAGAGAGAGAGAGAGAGAGAGAGAGAGAGAGAGAGAGAGAGAGAGAGAGAGAAGAAAACACAGTCCCAGAATGAGCAATGCAATAACATGCCAGTTACTAGTAGTAACTTCGGGACCTCCGTTTCCGAGGAAAAAGAAGTGAAGCATAAGAATGAAACCAATTAGGTGACATTTGAACTTCCTGCCTGAGCAAATTTGGCCTGATTGCTAGAATCCTCAAGAAGAACACTGCAGTTTCCACAGGGTGCCCGACTCCTCGCGGCCGCATCGGATGGCCAAACAGGCTGCCCTCCGCGGAGTGTGCAGCCTGCAGCCCTGCGCCAGCTCGGGTCTCCCCGGCTGCGCCCCAAGTCCGGCCCGGCCGCGTTCCCCGAAGAGAGCGAGCAGGTCTGAGGCTGCCGCGGCGGCGGCGCGAGAGGCGGGGGAGGGCGGCAAATGCGAACCATGTGTTGGGGATGGGGGGATGTTATGGGTCTGGTAGTTTGAGATGAGGCAGGAGACTGTGTGTGGTAAGGAAACCAAGGGCATGAATTTCAAGTTAATGAGATCAGGACACCCCCTGGGAGGACTCCTTCCATTTCCAAAGGAAAAAGCCCCAGGTGGTGGGATAGACTGGGGCGGAAGCCGCCAGTACTGAGACTCGGTGGAGGGTGCGGAGGGAGAGTCTGCACGTCCTCGCGGCGGCCCTCGAGCCTTACCTTGGTCGGTGATGGAGCGAATTCCCAGGATGTCGGTAACGGAGTGGGAGGAGGGCCAGGTGCGCGGCATGGCCACGGAGCCGGGGATGGCGGGCACCCCGGGCGGCGTGGGCACCTTAGCGGCGGCCGCCGTGATGGGGCTGGGGTAGGAGTAGATGTGGTTATAGGGCAGCGCCGGCTGCGGAGCGGGCTGGTGCTGCTTGTACGAGTCGTAATGGCCCTGTTGGGCCAAGTTGCCGATCTTGTTACGCAGGATGCGGCTGATGGAGCTCACGGAGGGCACGTTGTACTTGTCACACACGCCGTCGGCCAGTAGGCGGTCCCGGATCTCCCAGGCGAAGATGCCGGGGTCCCTCTGCTTGTAGGTCCGGATGTGCTTCACCACCGTAGGGGTGGTGACCCGGGGCTTGCTGCCCCCGATGGCTCCTGGCAAGATCGAGCCTGTCTCGTTGTAGCGCGCCAGGATCTTGCTGACGCAGCCATGAGAGACCCGTAGCTGGCGGCTGATGTCACACGGTCTGATGCCCAGTTGGGCCAGTTCCACAATGCGAAGCCGGATGGCGTTGGGCAGCGGCCTCCCGTTCACGAACACTCCTCCCAGCTGGTTCACCTCCCCGAAGGCTGGCTCTGCAAAACAAACACGCGGCGCGCGGGGACGCGCACCCGCAGCTTGGGACGGCCGCCGGCCGCTCGGCCTCCGCGCGCGTCAAGGGGCAGGGCGGCTGCCACGGACCAGGGACCCCGGGCTTTCCTCAACCCCGTTGGTCCCCGAGCTCTGCAGAACCGCCCCAAACCGCCGCGGTCCAGTCAGACCCCCTCCCTCGTGCCGATGGTGCTGGCAGCCGCTGGAAACAAATAACGTGGTGAAACGCAGGGCCGCTTCGAGCGCTCAAAAGTCTCGGAAGCGGGCGAGGAAATCGCTCATGACGCCTGCAACCCGCTCCTTCGCGGCTACTCGGCGCTAAAGTTCTTGGGCCGCTCCCCTTGGTCCCCAGCGCCCCGCCTTAGGGACCTGCGCAATTAGACAAGGTCTTGGGGAAACTGCAGGCTTTTTCTCTGTTCTGTTTGTTTGCGTGCGTGCGTGTACAGTATGTGAAACAAAACTTGGTCTGCCACGGGGGCTGCGGGGCTTGCCACCGCTCCCTTCTCTTAACATCAGAAACTAGCATCAACAGCAACCCAGTAGCCAGCGTTTAGACTGAACTGCTGTGCGCCTCTGACCCTTAGCATGTTCCTACAAGTTGTAGGAACACGAGCAAAGTCAATACGGAAAGTGTGAGCGCTCAGGGGTGCGCGCCCTCGCGCTCTTTCCCTCCCTCTCTCTCTCTCTCTCTCTTGCTCCCTCCCTCCTCCTCCCCGACTCTGACAGCGTCCCCCGCCGCCACTCACCCATTGCTCCGAGCAGCACACCAACCGGGCCCCAGTTCCGAGCTTCCAGAAAGAAACTTTTCGCACGGCCTCAGTGTCCCAGCCTGTCGCTGCCCCAGGCCGTGGGTGCCTCCGCTTCTCTCCGGGAGGAGGCGGCGAGAGTGCAAAAGGAAGGAGTAAAAGGAAGTCTGTGCCCCGCTGAAAGAGGCTTGAGTTCTGCATTTCAATCTAAGCAGCAACGTGGGCTGGGCTGAGCGGGCCGGGCGGCTCTGTCTATCACTCACCAAGGACACGCCCCCCAAAGGGGTGGGCCCGAGGGCAAGCTGCGCGGTGATTGGTGCGGGGCCGTGAGCGACAGCGCCGTCGGGAAAGTCCTTCCGCTGTCTCCTCCAGCTTGCTGGGCACCTGGGTGACTAAATACAATGAAATTCGGTGTTTGACACCTTCCGAGGAGCAGCGCAAATAGACAGCAAAATTATGCTGATAAAAGTGCTGAATAAGCACATTAAAGCGTTTGGTCCCAATATGAGACTCAAAAAGGGAGGGAGCTAGGAGACTTCTTTGGGGGACAGACAAACGTCTTAGAATTGTTACCAGGTGTTGCCACCCCAAGCCAGGTGGCGACAGCGCGGGTGCGGGAAGATAGGCCCGTCGTAGAGACAAGGAGGTTTAGGGGAGGCCGAGGCAGAGGTGGCGGCCACACTGACCGCCAGGTGCAAACTCCTCCTCCGCCCCCGCGACCAGCTCCACGCAGCAGCCTCTACGGGAGGGTTCACCCAGGAGCGCGGGGCCCAATGTCAGCCACGCAGGCTCCGGGCAGGGGCCGCGCTGTGTGCGGAGAACGCAACCACCGGCGCCTAAAGCCACCGACAGGTCACCTGGCGCGGGACACACTCAGCGGAGGCCAGAGCGCCCTGCGCTCAGCCACGGTGCTGGTCCGCGGGTGCTCAGTACGAACATCTGCCGGCTTCCCCCACTAGCAAACCACCGCCAAGGAGTTTTGTTTAACTATGAGAGAGACTTGGTCCCACGATGAACACCCGGCCTGCGTGTGCGTGCGGGTGTGTGTGTGTGATTCCCGCACCTTCGGTTTAGCTACCAGAGGCCTTGAAGTTCACCCTCTCTCTCTGAGTTTCCACTTTCGTTCACCCTAATTCTAATCTGAAGTGTACAGTACTCTTTTTTGGTGGCCAAAATTATTCACGTTTTGGGTGTGGGTTTTGGAGGATGCTAAACAAAATTTTTAAAACAATATGGGGGACACTTTTAATGAACTTGGGAGCTGTACTGCTTCGGGTCTGTGACACATACTGCTTGCTCTCTGACAGTAACGCTCCTTCTGGTGCGCGCAGGATTCGGCCGATCCTCCCACAACCCCAGGGATGTGTGTGCCTCTGGTCTACGCCTAGGCAAGCTGATTGGGCCCAGATCCCGGGGCAGTAAGTGACAAAACTAATGATCAGTTGTGCTTTTTAAACCCAAGAGTAATCTCCAGATCCGTTCTCTCCTATGGTGCGCACTCCAAGTTCAAATTTACAGATATGAAACATTTGAACGATAAAGGAAAGATGACTTCAAACATACTTAATTCTTTACAGTCGGGTTCTTGCGAAAAGTCCCACAACTAGGGACTTTTCCCTGGGTCTGACCCCCAATACCTGTTGTGTGGCACGGACAAGCGCTTTACAACGCAGACGGAGGTCCTTCGGGAATCCAAGCAGCTAGAACTGGCAGCTGCTTCTTGGGGCGGGGTACAAATTAGCTAACACTGTGATATCGCAGGAGCGCTTAGAGTTTGCCTTCGGCTTCTTTGGAGGAATAAACACGCTGGGCATCTTGACCCAGAATCCCCCTGACCCCGCCCCCAGCAGAAGCACAGCCACCTGCTGTGGCGGACTCTCCTGCGCTCCGCTGCGCCCAGCGACGCGCCTCTGACCCTGCGGGGCTGCGGTGTCGGTTAAAGTTCCGCCCTGGGAGTGGCAAGACCCAGTGCCCTGACGTGGTCTAGGAGCTGTGCGAGGGCTTTAGGGGATGCACTGCACCAGCCCAGAATGACCCAGACACTCGTATTGCTAGGGTTCCGGCCAGGTGGACCTAAAACAACCCCCTCTCATTCCCTCATCGCCTTCATCTGCCTCTTTCCCTGCGCTCTTGAACAGTCCGCCGCTCTCTCTCCAGTTCCACCTGCTGGACTTGGTGACCGCCGTGCGGTCTTAGCTGCGGTGGACCGCCGGCCCCACAGGACTCACTACACCGGAGTGGATGGGGGGGGGGGCAATGGGGGTGTATGGCGCTCTCCGCGGTGCGCATTCCCTGGGGCACCAGTGAAGGCTTTGGTATCTGGGATGCTAAGTACCCAAGCCAAGGCCGGGGTCCTGGGACCAGAGGGGCCGAAGCTTCAGGGGATCCTAGATAAGAGGCCAACGCTGCACCCTCTGGGGGACGCACACTGAGCCAGGGAGCTGGCGACCCCAGGACAGACAGGGACCTGACAGAGACGCACGAGGGAGGGGGGTAGAAGGAGGGAGAGAGGGAGGGAGAGACTAAGGGATGGCAAGCGTCCTCCGTGGGCCCAGGGATGCGGGAAAGAGCAAGGTCAGCTGGGCTCAGTGCCCCCTCTTTACTGCCCGCCCGGGAACCAGGAGATCACACCGAGATCGCAACGACGAAAAGAAATTTAAGACCAAAACCAAAACACAACCGGTACGGCCCGCAGCTGGTGCAGGCTGAGGAGAAGCCATAAGTCCTTTCCAGGGCGCTGTCGAGGCCTCCTCTGCGGGGAGACCCACTCTCTGGGTAAATATTTACTTAGTGGGCGACTGGAAACTGGCCCGGCGGGAGGGGGTGAAGCAGGGGCTACAGGGGCGGAGAGAATCCGTGCGCTCAGCACAGACCCGGCGAAGCTGAACCTCGGCCCGAGGGGAGCCTGGGCCCAGGACTCCAGAGGCAGCGCGGCCTGGGCGCCGGCTGCGGGAACTTCAGCTTGGCCTGCAGCGCGCCTTTGGGGCCCGACTCTCACCCCGTCCCTGCGCCCAGGCCAGATGCTGTAAAGTCTTCACACATCTGCCAGCTGTCCCAGTGCCTCTGGCCTTCACCTGCGGCGGCCTCCCGCCCCCACCCCCCGCCTCCACTACCACCTCCCCGCCCTAGAGGTGTCTGAGGAAAGATGCGGAAAACGAAATGGAATCTAGAACCTTCTTCCGAGGTCAGACCCGAGCGCTAGAGGCTGTGCAGCTCCCCGGGAGCCCTCGCCCAGCTCTGCAATCCTGAGTGACGGACGCCCTGGGCTGCTCCGCCGGGGTCTGCGGGTCAGCGAGGACTGGGAGGGAGGAGTGGGAATAGCTAGAGGGGCGTGTGTTTGCGCTGGAGAGGGGTCCTGTTCCCAGGTGCACTTAGGAAGAGCAGAGTTGGCAGAGAAGAATGTTAAGGAACAGATTCCTCCAGCTGCCCCCCAGCCAGAAACAAACAGGACCCCGGGGTGAGGCCCGGGCGACGGGAGCTGCAGGGATCTGGGGCAGCCAGGATCTGAGCTCCAGGGTGGGTTTGCGGAGCTCAGGGAAAAGCACAGTGCTTTTAGCTGTCGGCGGGGGGATGCGGTGGAGGCCAGATCTCACATCCGGTTCCCCCAAGGGAGCGCGTCTTCTAGGGTAGGTCAAGGATTGCGCGCGGCGTAGGGAGGGAGGGAGGGAGAGAGAGAGAGAGAGAGAGAGCGCCGATGTCTCCATTCCTCTCCAAACTGTGTTGCCAACGCCTGAGCCATGGGTTTCAATCCCGATCCGCCTACTGCTAGGTCTGGGCCTCGCACGGTCAGCGGCCCCTCCTCCCCCATCTTGACCTTCTAGCGACTGCTGCCGCAGTGGCAGCCCGCAGCGCACCGGGTCCCCAAGGCGACGAGGATCCATCCTGAGCTGAAGCCGGGCGGATCTGCACTTGGAGCCGCGGGCAGGGGCTGGGGCAAGGGCAGGGGCAGGGGCGGTGGGTAGAGGGAAGGGCCAAGGGTGAGAAAGAGACAGCCCTCTGGGGCCCTCACCCCCAGCCAGGCCGGAGGGGGGAGGGGGAGAGGGAGGGGGAGGGGGTGGCGGCACACTGACCTGCGGGCCTGGACTTCGCCGGGTTGCGGACGGGACCGGACGCGCCTGCCCAGGTAAAGGCCGCAGGGGTCCCCCAAGAGGAGCCCGGAAGATTCTCCCAGAGTCGGTGGGGCCTCCCCGGGGCCTCTCCGCCTTCCAGCCGGCGATGCTCACGGTAAAAGACCCTTTCCCCCAAGGCAGCCGCCCACCAAGCCGTCCCAGCGCGCAGAAATCCTGCTGCGGGCCGTGGGAGAGGCCCCGGGGCAGCGAGCTCTCTCACCCGCTCTCTCCTTCCGAGGGCAGGGGAGGGGCCTGCTGCCGCCTGAAACCCGCTTTTAATTCTCCGCCTGCCTGTTTCGGATCACTCGGGGTTGGTTTTTCTGTTTGCTCACTCCTTCTGTTACAATAAAAACAATCGACATTTCTTTTCAGTTTCCCCATATTAGCGTCACTCGGTAATTGTTCTCCACACCCCCTCCCCCCACGCGTTGAAGGAGAGCGGGGTGGCTGGTACCCTCGCATTGGAAGGTTTCCGAATATATAAGCAAATCTTCCCTAAAGACTTTAAAGTAAAAATAAATAACGGCCCGCGAAATTGCCGTGACCCTAGCCTCACTTTCTGGACGCAAATTACACCCATTTTTCAGTTTTCAACAGCGGAATTGCTTTCAGAGGGACTGCGCGCGGGCCCTATGTGATATGGTTACATTGTTTATTAAGCCCGCAAATGAAAGAGAACGCATTTCTGTGCGAGGGGCAAAACTGTGGCTGCGGGACCGCAAGTGCGGTCAAGGAAATAGGAGGATCCCTGCGGGGAGGCCGGCTGAGCCCCCCCAGAGGGAGGAGGGACCTCACCCTGCCGGGTCGAAGCGTCTGTAGAAGCCACCACCCCGCGCGGTAGCCCGGGAGGACCGTCTGCGGTCACTCCAGAGCCCCGAGCTGCCGCGGCTCCAGAGGGTTGTAGCTGCGCGTGGGAAAAGCAGGGTTTCGGGTTTTTTGTTTTTTTTTTTTAAGATTCTGCCCGCAGGGCGTGGGGCTGCTGCTTGCCGAAGACCCGGTTGGCCTACGGGCTGTCTGGAAAAGATAAACGCGAGCCAGGCCGCGCCTCGAAGCCTGGGTTTTGGCGCTCAAACAAATGCAAAGCCCCGGGGCCTCCCACCGCGGCCCGGGCCCCCTGCCTGCAGCTCTAGGCCGAGGCTGGGGTTGCCTGCAGGCTTCGAGGGGCCTGAATCCGCCTGCGGGCCGGGTCTTGGCGCTGAGCACGGGCATCCCCCCTCTGTTCAGTGATGCAGGGAGCTGGGGCTCGCTCACTTCGCGGTCCCCTCGAACTGC